TTATAGGGTACACAAATATTTTTTTCATAATCTTTGGTCTTTGAGCTTTTTAAAAATGTATACTTTGCCACGGTTTGGAGTTAACTCTTAGCCACGAGAAAATGTTTGAAACATGGTGTGTTTTTAGGTTAAGTCCCACCTTACTACCTTAAGACGACCTACAGAACTCGGAAGTACGATCGTTCTTGGAGTTCCGAGCGGAACTTCCTAAGAAAGGGCGCCATTTTATAGCAGCACGTTTTATGCACATGTGTAACAACATGTAATCAGTCTGGTGTTAGGGTTACTCTTTACGGGAAGGTCCCAACTAGTCACGCGAGAGTGTCGGTCGAACCCGAGGGGTAATCCTAGCAATTCTCGATGGGGGTGTGTTGCCCGGTCTCCAAATTCTGACCCCACTGAGAGAGTCTGCAGACCCACTCTTATTCTCTTGCTCCAGGTGATTACTGATTCAAATTAACTGTTAGCCGTAAGAAGCCAAACTATTAACTTTTCGCTAGCTTTAAAAGCCCCACCAAATTGAAATCCTCTTATTAGACCATATTAAAACCTATTTGGACACGATGCAAAGCACAAAAAACCATAATTCGCCTATATGGCCTTAAACTGTCTCCATGGGCCTTCTCTAACATTAATTAAGATGATTACATTCATATAAGCTAAGTCGCCTATCTTCTGACTTGTGTGTTTATTTTCAACAAAAGAATATGATTCTCTCATTTTCAATCAACAAATGGTGGTCACCCAGCCAGCTTTGCTCTTTAGTTATTTTGGAAGACCACTTGGCACCTGCTGTGTGTATGTCTAATTTATCTATTAGCTTTTATATTTTTGTAAGTTACAGTCCAAATAAATATTTAACAAATGAACTCTATAAGAAAGCATCTGAAGTATCAATGGCGAGACGTTTTATTTCAATTTTTCATTAAAAAAAAATATACAGCATTGAGTACCAATAAAAAATCAGGAGGGGAGTTCCCACTCCAAGCCCTCGGAGATATTAATACCTGCCCGTAAATTAGACCTTCTGAAAACTGTGGGGGACAGTACAAGTTTTCTTTTTAACCTGCATAAGATTTTATCCAAGGTGATTTTTCACTCTCGTAGAAATTGTTATATTTTTTCAATAGAAATGACATTTACATCACAACATTAATTAAGAAAAACGCTCTGATGGAAAAAGATATAGTACATTTTGTCCATACAGTAGCCTCTAACTAATTATTCCTCTTGTAAACCTGTATCTTTATCAGCGCTCTACTGAAGCTTGCGTAAAAGGCGCCTAAGTAATAACAAAGAGCAAATTGGAAAAGTGCAACAGAGAGCGCGAGAACGCGCGAGGCGTAAACACGCGAGTCCACTTCAACGCGCGTGACCTATCGTTCCAACTCACGCCCTATGAATTGATTGCATGAATCGTCCGCTACGCGGGTATAGTACTCTAATGCGGAAGTTCAGAAAACCAGTACATCCACAAAAAAGAAATAAAAAAACAAAAACAAAAACAAAAACAAAAACTGAAACAGTAATACAAAATAATCAAGATCATTGCACACGATGCTTTTCTCATACTTAGCATATTTTGCATTCATTACTTATGTTTCAGGAGGGAAGAAGCTGTTCCATCTCAGCTTTAATTGAAGTAAGATACCTGGTAACGTCGCTTAAACCGTTGCAAATCCACTTTCCATTGCATTTGTCGCACTGGCAATAATGACCGTCACCATCCATTTGTAAAGCTGCTATGTTGCTATTAACATCGGAAAAGTAATATCTAGATCTGTGTTTAGAAGAAGCATGTCTAACGAGGTAGTCCGCGAGATTATTTACATCACCTAAACAATTCCTTTTCACTCGCTGAATTTTCCCTTCCATCATCTCAACCTTTACTTGCCTTTCTTTAGCCAGATTTCGGGATTCAGTTAACTCTGTTTGCAGTCTCTTTATAATTCCTTCCAAGATCTCTTTTACGCTATTTTCCTGGATTTGATCGAACATCTCGTCCTGTTTTAACTCGTCCAGACTGAGACAATGAGCTTGGTTCATACTCGCTAGTTTCAGCTTTTCTAGCTTGTAAGTCTGTGCAAATACCAAATCTGCAAGGACACTTTCCTTCGGTTTGTCTTTGACCTTCTCGGCCATGAAATCTTCGCATCTCGTAACAATGGCTTCCATTTGATATTCGTGAGCGAGCTTAAACAGGAAATAACAGTTTTCCTCCGTTATTTCTCTTTCTGTCGGAGAGGGATATATCAGCAAAAGCATTTCCTCAATTTCACTTGCTTTTTTGCCTGGAAGTGGAACTTCCTTCTTGCTCTGCTCTTGAAACTCTGATGTAAACATCTTTTCGAACACAGGCGACCACAATGCAAGGACCGCTCGGTGAACGTGGAATCTTTCCTCCTCAACAACAAGAACAAGATCGCTGAGTTTCCACGGCTGTCCGAATTTAGGCGATGCAACTTCACTTTTTGATTCCATCTGGGAAGATCGAGCCGAAGTAAGCAACTGAGAAAAACGGAAAAGCGACACAATACTGAAAACCAGAACCGATGGGAGTATAAATTCTGGTGATAAACGAAACTTGAAACTTTACAAGAAACGAGGGATCTGGGAACGAGATGACACTCCGACACTCCACCCCTCGCCACAAAGGAAAGGTTGGACACTACAATTTTCACTGATTCAGCGCTCACCAGTCTTCTCGAAATATCCACTGGGTGATCTCTAACTGAAATCACAGCATTTACAGTTGTTAGGGAAGCTTACTACTGGCTTAAGGGGTAACGGGAATAGTAAAAAAACAAAATACCGATATCAGCAAAAATCAAACGGAACGTTACTGAGTCAAAAACTATACTTAAAATTATATTTATCAATCAATAGCTTTATCAACCATTACCTTTACAACCCAATAGGCCACCAAGTGATCGGGTAAGTAATCCTAGAAAAATCGGCTTGAGGTGTGCCGCCTGCTTCTCGAAACCCTTGCCCAATTTGAGACCACAATCTGTGATTTTACCTACTCTATTTGTGACCTGACTAAATATTTGATACCCTATTTAAGACCTAACCCTTTAATGAATACCCTGTTTCAGACCTGTATTTTAACTTGGTAGCTAGCTCAGACCGATGTTAAAGGCATTGTGAGGGGCTTCTGTTGATGGTCTTATTGATAATGACGAAAAAAAGTGCTTCTTGAAAAAATAAATAAATAAATAAATAAATAAATTTAAAAAACGTACCCAATTGAAGACTAGGATGCAGAAACCAAAATGGTGAAAATCCATACCCTATTTCTGACCAATATGGCTAAAAACCAATACCCTTTAGGGCTGCACATACCTGCAGAGACCATTTAAGGGAGTACCCCCTCCCCCACTCCGCTTCTCCCACGGAATCAAAACCGTTTCTTGAATAGTCACGCAACGCTACTTCCTACTCAGTGACCATGGGAAGAGGCGTTGTATGAATGTCCATAGGCACTCTCTGCTGTTGGAAAAGTTTTGTATTAAACAAACACTCTGGTGGGGATACCCATATCACTGGTGATTTGGGTATCCCATACGTTTTAACATTTCTAGTCCTTTCGTCATTTGGATGCCTTTCCTCTTTGTAAATATGCTTTGCCTTTTTATCTTCGATCGATTTGGATACCCTGAATTAAAGAAACGATAACAAACAAACACTCTGGAAGGGGATACCCATGCAAAGGACTGAGTCTTGTCTACTTTATTTACATTTTCTATAGATTGCCTTTCTCCGAAAGAAAAAAATCTGCTTTAATAACATAGAGAAGAACTGTTCGCTGGCAAAATCTAATGGCAGAGATGGTCAAGGAAAGAGAGACAAATAAACATATTATAAGCAAGTCTAACACAAAGTTTATTTCAGACATGCAAAATCGCACAGCTACAGAGGTCAGTTATAGCTTGAACGACTTCCATATTGTGTGACGGCCGTATCTCAGTCAGTGTTCGCTCGCATATCGATTGAATTCAATCGCGCGCCGAACTATCCACGGTTTAGAATGTGCCTTTCTTGTTTATAGTAACATGCATTTCAAGGGTTATCGATAGGCCCCAAGCCCAAGTTAATACAAGGAACTTTGGCGCGTGAATCTTCTTTTGAATGCCGTTAGAACTGATAAAAAATGAGGACTCGGATCAGACAGTCTGCTATAAACTGCGACTATTTTAAGAGACGTTATGCGTTTATATCAAGATTAAGAAAGCTTTCAATTATTGAGACAGAGCTTCGTCAGAAGATAAAAGATTTTAGAGCAGAATTATAAATGATTTCACTTGCCCCAGTCTGTGGTATTTAACGCTTCCAGTCAGTTTGGGTATACCCACTGGGGGTACCCAAAACACTGGGGATTTGGGTACGGGGTACCCGAAACTCGGGGTAACCAAATCACTGTGACAATGACTCTTCCTCCTCTTGCCAGGAGGAAAAGGTGGGATACTAAATTTTCACTGATTCAACGCTTGCCAGCCTGCTCGAAATATCCACTGGGTGATCTCTAGATGAAATCACAGCATTTGCAGTTGTTAGGGAAGTTTAATACCGGCGTACTATACGGGCTAACGATCGGGGATAGTAGAATAAAAAGAACGAACTACGGGCTAACGGGGATTTTAGAATAAAAAGAACTAAATCAGCAAAAACCAAACGGAACGTTACTGAGTCAAAAACAACAAATGTTTATTTAACTATAAATTTATAGTTTTCAATGAATAGCTTTATCAACCATTAGCTTTTACTAAAAATCAGGCCACCTTGGGTCACAGCCGTTACTTGGGTAGTCACGCAACGCTACTTTCCACTTCCCGTTGCGTGACTTTTCTATTTCGCGCTAATTACCAGAAAGTGACTCCAGTGCCTGCTTTACGAATTTAAGGTGCTTTGAAACCTCACCTAAACCTGGGCACATTGTGCCTGAAGAACACCTATGCTCTTGTGTGTCTTGTTCCAGAGTAAACAAATACCTATCTAAGTTAGTGACACCAACAAAGTACCTTTTGTGTTTTTCGTAAGCATGTTTTGTCAAACATTTGGCAATTTCAAGCAACTCTTTCAGGCACTTCTCTCTGATATCCTTTATCCCCTTTTGCATCGACTGCAGTTTTTTCAGCTCCCCCTCTAGTCGGTCGACGATTCCCTCCACAATCTTCTTGTAAATGCTTGGCTCAATTTGATCACACATCTCATGGCAGTTAAGTTCCTTTATACTAAGTTGACTGGCTTCTGTAATACTATTCAACACAAGCTTCTCCATCTTGTAGGTCTGTGCAAAGATCAATTCATTCAAGATGTCTTTCCGCTTTCCCATCTTATCGACCAAGAAATCCTCGCACTGTTGCACAATGGCGTCAATTTGATATTCTTGGGCAAGCTTCGCCAAGAAGTAACAGTTGTCGTGAGTGACTCTAACCCACGGCTTTCCGGTCACGTTTGGATAAATCATCAGAAGCAGTTCTCTGATTTCATTCGCCTTTTTATCAGGTAGAGGTATTTCATCTTTGTTTTTTTCTTGAAACGCTGCTGTAAACATCTTTTCGAACACGGGCGACCAAAGTGCCAGAATGTTGCGATGAACGTAAAATCTCTGATCCTCTACAACAAGAACGATGTCGCTGAATTTCCACGGCTCTGAGAAATCTGGTGGATCAGCGAAAGAATTATCTGTAGTGGCCATACTGTCGTCCTGAACACCGATACAACGGACGAATACGAAAGTGAACAGAAATGGCGGTTTCAGTTTCCTCTGTAGAGCGACACTCTCAGGTTCGCGTGACTTGTTGAGAGCTTCGTCAAGAGTCACGCAACACCACGATTACGGTAAATCTCATTATCTCAATTCATATTTTCATTCAATTCAACATCTTCATTTCAGTTGAAGAGTCTGATCAACATGCTAATTTGTTGGTACGTGTAGAAATGGGATCAAAGAGATACCTCACAGGGTGGTAGATGAAGCCAGATGGTTCGTACATGTACCATCCCCTCCCTGTTCAATACTTCTTATACCCTGGTACCCAGTGCCGACCGCGCTTTTGTTTTACACAGTAATGCACCTATTAATGTTAAGCCCGAAGGGGGAAGGGGCGGGGGGGACCCCGGGCATATGTGGGGCATTTGACTTTTCAGAAGAATTTTTGGTCAAAATCCCCACCGTGGGGCCCCAAAATTTGGTCAGATCGGATCAAATATCCCCACCCGTTTTGTTCTACAGGCGCTCGTGATCTTTAAGAGAGGCATTCTCCTGGTCAATGGATAGAAAATATTTAATAGAATTCAACGCTTGATTCTCTGACGAAAAGCGAGTCGATATTATCAATAAAACACACAATCCCCACAAAGTGAGGTGTTCCATCAATTTATATTGAAAATGAGTAGTGAGAAGTAGTGTTTTTGTATAAATATAAAAGCAGGTGCTTACCTCTATTAAAAACAGCCGTCTTTCAGGGCTTTAGCCGCGCTACTCCAATTCCAAGATGGCCGGCGCACAGACGAGCACATGGGACGATGTTATTGGTCCCATTCCTCCACGCAAAAAAAGCAAACGTCCCCACCCTGAGACCCAGATTCTTCGTCAAATTCCCGCGGGTGGGGAAGGCAATAGAGGTCAAATGCCCCACGTATGCCCGGGGTCCCCATTCCCCCCCGCTCGGGCTTAACATTGATAGATGCATAATGGCGGAAATTTCAAATCGGAGTTTGAGTTCGTGGAGCTGAATTGCTAATTCCGAAAAAGAAGACAA